CTACTATATTCGGACCAAAATCGGTCTGAAAAATGAAAAGCATGGAAGCTTCTTGATTCTTTGCATATATTCAAACCAATACCGGTCTGTATATATTCACACTAAATTTAATTTAGATTTAAGATAAAAAAAATCCCACGGATTGCCTATATTCAGACCAATCCCGGTCCGTATATATCTATACGGACCGGCATCGGTCCGTATATTCCAATGAACAACAGCTTTTATTTTTTTTTTGTTATTTCATGCTTAAGTCGTTCTACTCTTGTTTTAAACCGTAACATTCCGAATGTTTGCAAGCCATAGTGGTTAACCTTATGAAAAAAAATGAATTTTAGTTGCTTATTACTCCGAAAGAGTATTACGTAACATTATCTCTAATAACCTTTAACTTATACGTTCGTGGTTTTGCAACGATATTACTCCGTAGTATCGTAAGATAATTTCAGCTAGACAATCGATGGTTTTGTGGTTCTAAGGGACTATAGGGTCGATGTACATGCAATTGGTTTTCGCAGGAATGGATTTAGAACACAAGAAAATGGTAATGTCCTTAAATGAAAAGAATAAAAATGTGCACTGGAAGAAGTTTCTGGATTTTTTCTACTATATTCGGACCAAAATCGGTCTGAAAAATGAAAAGCATGGAAGCTTCTTGATTCTTTGCATATATGTAGACCGGGATCGATCCGTATATTCCAATGGATTTAGATAACGAGAAGATGGTCATGTCCTTAAATGAAAAGAACAAAAATGTGTGTTGGAAGATTTTTTACAAATATATTCGGACCGATATCGGTCCGTAATTAATTTATGCGCCAAATTTTTACCGTTGATTTGAATCTTATTGATTCTGTGGTAATTTATTTATATTCAGACCGATTTCGGTCTGAATATGATTAATGCGCCAAAATTTTTCCCAGAAAAATTGAAATTTTTTCGAAAAAATTGAAATTTTTTAGTGTCGCGCGCCATTGAGGATTATACGGACCGATTTCGGTCCGTGTATGTCTTATATATATCACCACTTCTCTTCCGTTTCCTCATTTCCTCTTCTTCCTCTCTTTCTCCCTCCCGTCTCCTTCTTCTTTTTCTTCTTTTTTTTTTTCTACTTCCCTTCTCCCTCACTTTCTTTCCCTTCTACTTCTCTTCTTTTCTCTCTTCCCTTTTCTTTCTCATTTCCTTCTATTTCCTTTTCTTTCCTCTCTTTTTTCTCTCCACTTCTTCATCTTTTCTTTCCTGTTTTTTTCTTTTTTCAATTTTCTCAAATGTATATTTTAAAATTGTTTTTTATCTTTTTTGTATTGGTTTATTTTTATATTTTTATAATATACTAACTTTTGTTT